TACCAATCTTCTTTTCCATCCTTCTTCTTGGCTCTGTTTCAAATAATCTGAATGCAATGAAATTTCATTTTAATGTATGCTGATCAGTGTATGTTTAAAGTGACAATAAAATGTCTATTGTTTTTCTATTCTATTCTATTCTATGCTATGATATGCTATGCCATCGTTTCTATTCTGTTCTGATTCTATACTATTCTCTTCCGTTCCGCTCTGCTCCTTGTTCTGTTCTGTTCTGTTCTGTTCTATTCTATTCTATTCTATTCTATTCTATTCTATTCTATTCTATTCTATTCTATTCTATTCTATTCTATTCTATTTTCTATATTCTATATTCTATATTCTATATTCTATATTCTATATTCTATTCTATTCTACTGTACTCTACTCTACTCTACTCTTTCTCATTCTAATCTATATTCCATCCCATTCTGTATTTTGTATTCCATTCCATATTTTTCATTCCATTTCAACTCCTTATCATCCCTTCCCTTCCCTTTCTTCTCTCCTGCCTGCCTGCCTGCCTGCCTGCCTGCCTGTCTGTCTGTCTGTCTGTGTCTGTCTGTCTGTCTGTCTGTCTATCTATCTGTCTATCTATCTCCCTTCCCTTCCCTTCCCTTCCCTTCCCTTCCCTTCCCTTCCCTTCCCTTCCCTTCCTTCTCTCCTTCCTTCCTTCCTGCCTGCCTTCCTTCCTTCCTTCCATTCTACCTTCCTTCCTTCCTTCCTTCCTTCCTTCCTTCCTTCCTTCCTTCCTTCCTTCCGTGGTAAGGAAGGAACACTTGCAAAAATGCTTCAGAATTGGACCAAAGGTGCCTACGATCACACACTTATTAGATGCTCAGCCCAAACTCAGTAATATGGGCAATTTGTTCAATTTCTGGCAGTTGGAATTTATAACAGAAAATCTCCCGCTTGTTAGCTGGTAACTTCATATGGTACTTTGAAAGAGAAAGTAGAGAATGATGAGCTGAGAAGTGAATTGCCTTGTTGCATGAAGCACAGTGCTGGCTGTATATTTGGCTGAGTAAGAAATAGTGATATTGATTTGTAGTATCCTGCAATGTACTTAATTGTATTATGAACTCTGAAGCAAAAGGGTTGCAATATGCAAAAAATGGAGCCTTCCTGGGATTGGTGATTTAGACTGTACTATAAAAAGAGATTATTGGTACAGGACAGAACTGGGAAATCTGTGACCTTGAATCCCCCTTTTTTGTGGCCCTCTTCTGTAGTAACCGAAATGCATGGAAATTGTAGCGTCAGCTCTAAAATAAGCACATCCGAGTTGCAAAATAATGTTTTTGGTCCCAACCCCATATTGGCAAAGTGGTGTCATCTCCTTTATGGAATCCTCCCAATATTAAATGCAGTTGTTGGCTACTAAAAGATTACCCATGGCTGTGTAGGACAAAGAGTAGTAGAATCTGGGGGTGGAGTGAAAAGAGGAATCAGCCTAGAATCCCTACGTAGCCACAAGCAAACTAAGTCCAGCTACCTTGAATTCTGCCGATCCTTTTACTGATTGTTAGTTAAGAAGATTCCTGTGCACAGGCCATGAGTAGCAATAAATCAGTTTAATTTGACTTTCAAGTGTGGACCTGATCTTTCACACTAACCAGCCTGGCTTATACAAATTGGTGAATTAAACAATCCGTGTTTGTTTACACACACTTTTATTATGATTATTTTGATTGTTATCACTTGCTAGAGTCATCCTTAATAATGCAGAAAATGAGTCATTTGGTCCATTGAGCTCTTTCGCTTTTTAAGATACAATTAATTTTACTATAGGATTTTAGTTTCTACTACATCATTAAGTCTCACGCTCACTATCTTAATTATATTGGAATCGTGATTTTACTTTTGTCTTAGCGCTCAAGCAATTTAGCTCATTTCTTGTTCCATATAGATGGCATTACATTATTGCTTCAAAGAGGTGGTCATTTTACTTTTTAAACCTTTGTTTTGCTGGCCAATGAGCAAAATAAACAAACTTGAATTTACCTTCAGGAATTAAGCACAGTGGTCTAATTAGGGTTAGGGTGAGGTTTAGGGTTAAAAAGATAAAAGTAAAGGTTCCCCTCACACATATGTGCTAGTCGTTCCCGACTCTAGGGGGCAGTGCTCATCTCCATTTCAAAGCCAAAGAGCCAGCGTGGTTCGAAGACTTCTCTGTGGTCATGTGGCCGGCATGACTCAACGCCGAAGGCGCACGGAACGCTGTTACCTTCCCACCAAAGGCGGTCCCTATTTTTCTACTTGCGTTTTTTACGTGCTTTCGAACTGTTAGGTTGACAGATGCTGAGACAAGTAACGGGAGCTCACCCGTTACGCCGCGCTAGGGATTTGAACCGCCGAACTGCCGACCTTTCGATTGACAAACTCAGCGTCTTAGCCACTGAGCCACCGCATCCCCTCCCTTTTTTTTTTTTAAAATAGAGAGCTCAAATTGGAAACACTTTCCTTTTTATGGTTTTAGGATTGAACTGGTCTTGTTTCAGAAACATGAATGCAGGGAGTATTATTATTCCTTCGTTCACAGTATTTTTTTGTTTGTGGATCTTCACAGCAGGGTAGAAAGCAATTCCCCCGTGAACCAAAATGCTTTGCTTGTTTGTTTGTTTTTTTTTCGCAGAAAGTTGTTTTTTTCACACGAACAACTCTCACTTCAGCCCTGTGTTGAGTGATTAGCTTGCAAGGTGAACGCTGCTCAGAAGAAAATTATACCGTCGCCACTGCAGCTTCTTAATTCATTTCAGATTATATCTGAAGCTTGCTGGATTGGTTAATATCGAACACCTTTTTGTTATTCATTCATCCCTCTCCAACCTCCAGCTTTTGAAACAAAGACACGGGTCCATCCAGGACACGGCTGGCGATTCATGAAATCACAGCTGTGACGTGATGTCCGTCGATAAAAAGGACCCATTTTATAGAAGGACAAAACGTAGAAGGTCAAAAGACAACATGTCTGTGACTTTCAAGAGGGAGCAGAGATTAGGCTGTAGAAACTCAAAGCTGGACCTTCTCACTTTTTCTGTTCCACAGAACCGTATTCCATGGTCAGTTGTAAGACAAGCATCTAGAATAGAATAACAGAGTTGGAAGGGGCCTTGGAGGTCTTCTAGTCCAACCCCCTGCTTAGGCAGGAAACCCTACACCACCTTCAGACAAATGGTTATCCAACATCTTCTTGAAAACTTCCAGTGTTGGAGCATCCACAACTTCTGGAGGCAAGTTGTTCCACTGGTTAATTGTTCTATCTCTCAGGAAATTCCTCCTTAGTTCTAAGTTGCTTCTCTCCTTGATTAGTTTCCACCCATTGCTTCTTGTCCTTCCTTCAGATGCGTTGGAGAATAGCTTGACTCCCTCTTCTTTGGGGCAGCCCCTGAGATATTGGAAGACTGCTATCATGTCATCCCTAGTCCTTCTTTTCATCAAACTAGACATACCCAGTTCCTGCAACCGTTCTTCACATGTTTTATCCTCCAGTCCCCTAATCATCTTTGTTGCTCTTCTCTGCACTCTTTCTAGAGTCTCCACATCTTTTTTACATCGTGGCGACCAAAACTGGATGCAGTATTCCAAGTGTGGCCTTACCAAGGCATTATAAAGTTGTATTAACACTTTATGTGATCTTGATTCTATCCCTCTGTTTAAGGATCTGTTTAAGGATCCTAGATTCATGGTCCAGGAGATCTGCTTTTTGGAACCCCTGGTCCAAGTTGAGTTCTGACCTCTTTGAAGCAAATTCCAGGACCAGAAATCCATGCTTCCATGTCTTTTTCTTAACACACACAAAGTCGCGCGCAAACAGCTCTTTCAAAAGGCACATACAGATGTCCTCTCTGCTTCCACCCTCCTTTCAGATTGGATTCTTCACACCTGAAGAGACACACACGCTTGATTTGGGTCAAGACTAGAAAGCATGAAGAAATTTGTAGGATTTTTGTTTTTAGTTGAATTTCTGCAAATGGTCCTTGTCTGGTTATTTCCATTCTTCCACAGGAAATCGGTCTGCTTTGCCCTAACTGAATATTGCAAGGATTTTTTCAGCTATCTGTGTCACCCACAGACCTCGAGGAAAGTCAGAATAGCCATTTTATCACAGTGCGGATAGTCCTCGACTTACAACAATTTCTCTTAGCGACCGTTCAAAGTTACAACAGCACTGAAAAAAGTTGTTCACACTTCTGACCTGTTGCAGCATCCCCACAGTCACGTGGTCAAAATTCAGACGCTTGGAAACTGGCATGTACTTATGACTGTTGCAGTATCCCAAAGTAACGTGATCCCCTTTTGCGTCCTGACCAGCAAAGTCCATGGCGAATCCAGATTCACTTAACAACCGGGTTACTAATTTAACAAAGGCAGTGATTCACTTAACAACGGCGGCAAGAAAGGTCGTAAAATGGGGCAAAGCTCACGTAACAAATTTCTCATTTAGCAATGTCAATTTTGGGCTGAATTGCGGTCTTAAACCGAAGATTACCTGTATGTGTGGCTTTCCGATTTTCTGATAGGTTTTTGAGACCATCACGTTGTGTTGGAAATCAACAGCTGATTGTTCTACATTTCAATTAAAACTTATGCAGATAAAAGTGAGAGGAAATGACATTTTCAAATACAGTGAAGGAAGAGAGTTTTGAAAACCAGGAGCTGTTGCTTGGAGAGATAAAAGAGAAGTGAACATCAAAGTGGAATTTCACATTTGAGTTTCTGTTTCGCCCAACCCCCCCTTAACTATTATATTAGTTGTTTCTCATTCCCTTCGAATTTCATAAAATTATTTTTTTTCCCCCTCAAGAAAACAGTTTTAACAATTGCATCCCAGGCAGAATTTCAAATTTTAGCAGGCATTTATGTAGATCGATTGTGATCATTGAGCTGCATAAAATTAAATTAAAAAATTGCCATGGGTTAAAAACTGCATTCACATAATTTAGAAAACCGTTTGTGTATATTTTACTTGACTGACACAATCTTTGTTGTTTTTTGTTCAGCTCCAGTGATTAACCGGTTCACGAGACGAGCGTCAGGTGAGTTCCCAAATTTAAATCTTCACCCATCAGTTGGTTATTGAAATATTGTTATTTGTCATTTGATGTAATGTTCTTATCGTGTATAAAACCCCTAATATTGCCTTATTTTTATAATGTTGCACTTTTTCAAAAAGGGAGAACCCCCCCCCAGAAAAATAGCTACATTGAAATAATATCAATTGCATTTGATAAACATATAATGAAGATTCTAAAAGATTCTAAAATTCTTTTACATCGAAATTTTAATTTGTTTTAAATTATTGGGATTTTTTAATTATCTTGGGCTAAATTATTTAATATGGTTTTAATTATATCTTTTAACTTTTGTATTTATGTATTTTATTTTGTGCTTGTTCACCGCCCTGAGTCCTTCAGGAGTAGGGCGGTATATAAATCTAATTTAAAAAAAAAAATGCTTTCTTAATCTAAGTGGGGTTCTTGGCACATATTTCCATCAAGATCATCTTACAGCAGGAGTGTCAAACTCACGTCATCACGGCGTTGTCATGTGACGTATCATGACTTCCCCCCCCTTCGCTAAACCCGGTGTGGGCGTGGCCAGTGCGTGACGCATCCGGCCCGCGGGTCGCAAGTTTAACAGCCCTGTCTTAGATAGATATGTTTGTGTGTTCTGTGTACATTAGAGTATTTTTGTGGTTCTGAAAGCATGAAAAACTCATCTTTGTCCAGAACTTATTAAATTCCAAGTAATTATTTAATACAATGTATACAATGTACATGTCTTTTTAAAAAAAAAAATTCCCAAGAGTTCTATCAATATGTTGTGTAGCATTACCTCAAAAATGTAGGAAAAGGAGTGGCAGAAACTGGGGGCGGAGTTAAAAGAGAGATCAGCCTAGAATCCTTATGTAGTCACCAGTGAACTAAGTCCAACCTCCTTTGAATTCCCTTGACCCTTACCCAGTGGTGAAATCCAATTTTTTTTACTATCGGTTCTGTGGGCGTGGCTTGGTGGGGGTGGCGTGGCTTGGTGGGCATGGCAGGGAAAGGATACTGCAAAATCTCCATTCCCATCCCACTCTGGGCCCAGCCAGAGGTGGCATTTGCCGGTTCTCCGAACTACTCAAAATTTCCGCTACCGGTTCTCCAGAACCTGTCAGAACCTGCTGGATTTCACCCCTGCCCTTACCCTAGCTCTTAGCAGGTACTGACTGTTAGTTGAGAAGATTCCTGTGCCTGGGACATGAGTAGCAATAAATCAGTTTAATTGGATCTTCACATGCGGACTCGTGTCTGACAAAAAGGAATATAAAGAAGAACGTGACCATAAGATAATAGGCTAAAGTGTCTTCAAATCTCTTTGCAATGCCATCTTCCTTACTCTCCACACCCAAGAATGGTTGAAGCTGACTTAGAACTTGGATGTCTCTATCCCCCACGTCCTAACTGGCTCTCAATTGTTCTATGGCAATCAACCTCTAGCACAGTGTTTTTCCAGCTTGGCGACTTTTCAGATGTGTGGACTTCAACTTCCAGAATTCCCCACATAACACGTCTGGCTGGGGAATTCTGGGGGTGGTGGCGAAATCCACATATCTTAAAATTGCCAGCTTTAGAGAAACACTGCTCTAGGGGTGCAAACGGGTGAAATCCAGCAGGTTCTGACAGGTTCTGGAAAACCAGTAGCGGAAATTTTGAGTAGTTTGGAGAACCAGAAAATATCACCTCTGGCTGGCCCCAGAGTGGGGTGGGAATGGAGATTTTGCAATATCCTTCCCCCAGGAGTGGGAAGGGAATGGGGATTTTGCAGTATCCTTCCCATGCCACGCCCACCAAGCCACACCACGCCCACCAAGCCACTCCCACAGAACCGATAGTAAAAATATTGAATTTCACCACTGGGTGTAAGGCTTTCTAACCCATAGGCAATGGTGGGATTCAAAAATTTTTACTAAAAGTTCTGTGGGCATGCTTGGTGGGCGTGGCCAGGGGGTGTGGCAGGCAGCATTCGGCCTCCTGCACTCCCTGGAAGCAAAAATGGGCCGCGGGCGGATGTGCCGCCCCTCAGTGCCCAGTTTCGGGCCTAGGAGGCCTCCCTGCAATTACCTGGGAGCCAGAAAGGCGCGCGTGGAGACTCTGGGAAGGGGCAGGGTGGGAACAGGGGGGGCAGCCAGCAATTTAACTACCGAACCGCTCGAACCGGCTGAATCCCACCACTGCCCATAGGCCAGATTTTTCTTCAGTGAAGAAACCTTGCCACCCAATAAATATTAAATGTTTTGTATTCAAATCCCGCCAAACCTCGCCTTGTCATTTGCTGTGAGGCTTGTCGCTGAAAATCCCCCGCCAGACAAGGCAGCTGCGTGAGGGATTCTCTTGAAAGGAGGTTCATAGTTTATTTATGTGTGTCATTTCATCCCGTTCATCGTGGCTTTTAGTCTTTCCAGAGCAAGCCAGTGTAACAGAAGTTGATCAACAGACAAACTATAAGACGACGAGCCATTAAAATAATGTAATAAATGACGTTTAAATAACGTCAGGATGATGGCAGCAGATGAACCCCATGATCAAAATTCACTACAGGGAATGTAGTGGTCATAAGTGTGAAAAATGGCCATAAACCGCTTTTTTTGGTGCCGTTGCCACTTTGAACGGTTCCTAAATGAACGGTCGCAAGTCGAGAAACACCTGCGCTCCACAGGCACCACCTGAACGGACCAAAGATTCCTGAATCTAGAACTGAAACCCGTCTCTGCCTTCAAAATTTCTTACTCAACAGATACTATTCTTACGATCGGGTTGGTTCAGCTGGCTGGAATGTTTCTTTTTCTCTATTGGGTTGGTGTTTTAAGGATGGCCTGTTCTTCATCTTGGCGGAAATTAACCAATTAAATATCCAGAGGTTAATTGCAGAAGCACCTGCTGACAATAATATGGGGCATTAATTATTTAGCAGATAATCCACCCAACATGCTGTGACTATTAACAGAGGGTTTTTTTGTTTTTTAAAAAAATATTCTACACAAGCCATAATTGTGCACAGCTGCTGTGATGATGGCACAGTTCCACGCGAATCCATCCTGGTCACATCCTTATCTTTCATCCGGGGTGCGTCCTTTTTGGCAGTACCCTTGCCATCCTCCTCCTCCCCCATGCTTATTAAATTCAGGTGGTATTTTTTTTTTTTTTATTAATTTGATTTATATGCCGCCCTTCTCCGGAGACTCGGGGCGGCTTACAATGCGTTAAGCAATAGCCTTCATCCTTTTGTATATTTATACAAAGTCAGCTTATTGCCCCCACAAACTGGGTCCTCAATTTACCTACCTTAGAAAGGATGGAAGGCTGAGTCAACCTTGAGCCTGGTGAGATTCGAACCTGCAGTAATTGCAGGCAGCTGGTGTTAATAACAGGGTGCTTTAGACCACTGTACTACCAAGGCTCTTAATGTGAGGAAGAAGGCAGTGGGAGCTGGTCAGGAGAGAAGAGTTTCAAACTGCGATGCCCTGGTCTCGTGGATCCCCCCCCTCTCTTAACAAAGAATTATTTTTTCAATGGGTAGCTGAGTCCTTCACATAGACCAGTGTTTTTGTCAACCGAGGCAGCTTGAAGATGGGTGGACTACAACTCCCAGAATTCCTCAGCCAAGGTTGAGGAAACACTGGCATACAGTAGTGGCCGAAATGGTGGAAACCTTTTGGGAAAAGTGTATTTTCTAAAACTAGCTAATAACACTACTTTTTTGGGGCAGTAGTAATAGTACCATAAAATTATATATCAATGGAAAGATAATTTAATCAAGGATGTAATGCAATAACTTTTATGAAGGATTTGCTATTAGAGTAGCAAAGTATAAAGAAGGAAAGTGAAACACGTAGAAAAAAATGAGATGTACAAAAATGATCACCATAGAAAAAATGAGATATACAAAAATGATCCCCATGTTAGTCAATACTTAGTTGGGTAACCCTTAGCATGAATTACGGCCTTACAAGAATGTAATGCAATAACTTTTATGAAGGATTTGCTGTTAGAATAGCAAAGTATAAAGAAGGAAAGTGAAACAGGTAGAAAAAAAATGAGATCTACAAAAATGATCACCATAGGAAAAAAAATGAGATATACAAAAATGATCACCATGTCAGTTAATACCAGGGGTGAAATCCAATTTTTTTCCCTATCGGTTCTTTGGGCGTGGCTTGGTGGGCATGGCAGGGGAAGGATATTGCAAAATCTCCATTCCCACCCCACTCCAGGGGAAGGATACTGCAAACTCTCCATTCCCTCCTCTCCTGGGGGAAGGATATTGCAAAATCTCCATTCCCACCCCACTCTGGGGCCAGCCAGAGGTGGTATTTGCCAGTTCTCCGAACTACTTCAAAATTTCCGCTACCAGTTCTCCAGAACCTGCTGGATTTCATCCCTGGTTACTACTTAGTTGGGTAACCTTTAGCATGAATTACAGCCTTACAACGTCTTCCCATGGAGTGAACCTAGTCTTTTAGTTCTGCAGCTGTTCTAATGTGAAACCAAGATTGAATGATGGCTTCTATTAACTGGGTTTTATTGCTGGGTCGCTTCTGACTAACCAGTTTCTTTAGTCGGCTCCCTAGATTTTCAATTGGGTTAAGGTCTGGGCTATTCCCAGCCATTCCAGCAGTGGAATAGGATTCTCTTGAAACTTCAAAAAAAAAAGTGGTGTTATTAGCCATCAAACCTCAAAAATATATTTTTCCCAAAAGGTTTCCACAATTTTGGCCACTACTGTAGATTAAACAAGGTGGAACGAAGGATTCAGCTGCAGCCGGTCTTCACAAAATATGTCACCTTTTGCTGAATATGGTTAAAAGATTGAGGTGCGAGGTGCTTTTTTTTTTTTCTTCACTATAGTCTGAATTATTTCATCCTGATTATGGGGAACGCCGAATTGTGTTTTTTCCCCAATATGTTCCATTTTTGAAATAGGTTTTTTAAAAGTCCTGGATCAGGGCAAGCTTAAATGATGCTAGACCGCAGAGTTTGTGTTAAGAATCTTT